ATGCTTCGGAGACACCTATGATCGAAGACAGGCAATCTACTAATATCATTTACTCTTACCGGCCATGTTCGTTCTCTATAGATTTATTGTACAATATATAGTCTTGCCAATATTATGAATACTATTTCACTTCTGACTTTTTTTAAGTATATTTAATGATCTTGCGACTCCGAATATTTAGTAAGTTATATTCCACTGTATAGTCTTGGTACTTTTTAAAGCTGTCTGCTAGTCATAATCCGTAGATAGCTTTAAAATACTTATTACGCTTAAACGTTATCTATTGGTAGTTTGGATGTAAGGGTTTCTATTTAGCTGTTTTTATGTCTGGGCTTCAGCCTCGTTTACAGCGATAACATGATATGTTTAGGAGCTGGATTTTCAACTTGTTATTGCATTTTTGTATTCTATTTTAAACATAATAATAAATTTTCATACGTCACTCTTCACAATTGAGTATAGTAGATTATGGAGTTTGATTTATTCACTAGTTTACTATGGTGGATGTTCGCTAATGAGTCTACTCGTGTTTGGTAGGCTTTTCAACATGTTTTCCACAATCTTCTCTTATTTCAAAAAGGAAATAGGACAGTTCAGTATTGATTATTTGAAGTATAAGATTCAACAAGTGTCCATTCTATTGTTAAGTCAGTTATGATTAGTTTAACTACCTAGTCCACTCATTGAATAAAATACATCTAATCGTTAATATTTACATGACTCAATTTTGGTTATGTTAGCTAATCTGCACAGTAATCTACGCTGTATTGTTGTACTACTGTAAAATGTATATAATTAAGGTAAAAGGCATAGGTAGATTGCCAGTATTTGGTCATAGGTCTTTGAAGTAGAGTTGACAACTTTGTAAGAAACATTCAAAGAGGTGATTAGGATATTTGATAACGCTGCTGATATCAGTCTAGATAGTTCTGTGTGTTACATATATGGTCATCTGTCATTTAATTGGACATGTTCGCATAGAAAAATGGTTAAGTGTAACAAAGTAAAAAATTTAACATCAGTTCATGAAGTCGTTGACTGTCAAATTAAGTATAATTTCAATTTTATCTTGTTGTATTGCATTGTGAATTACTTTAATGGTGACCGGTTTTATCAATTCATGTAGAAGTTATGTCACTATGGTGAGTTTATGGTATTTCATTTATTTTTAACTCTCCGAATTATAAATGATGATGAATTAACACTTTCTAATGAAATACACTTTTACATGCTTTATAATAAGCATTGAGAAGTAAACACAAGTTTTATTGCTTTGAGTTGTATATTTTTGACCGAATTTTTTTTTATTTAACTACTAATGATGCGAGCTCGTATCTGTTTAAGGCTTACTGGACGTAGGAAAGACACCGTAAGGAAGCCTCTTATGGTTTTATTTAATGATAATCAAACCAAGAAAATATTTCAGGAGCAACTAGAAAGAGAGTTAAGCAACCATGCAAGCGATTCCCATCCAGAAGCAGGTTGGAAACAGCTGTGATATCTGCTAGGAAGGTAAACCATGAGGCTAGGATGAAGCCGTGGATTTCAGTCGCATCCACCGAACTGATAGATGCTCGAAAACGCATCCCACCTGACTCTGAGCATGATGAAGAGCGTAGTCAGCTTAGGCGCAGACTTATAAAAAGTCTGCGTAACGACCGCGAACAGTGGTGGGTGGCGAAAGCAAAAGCGATGGAAAAGGCAGCGGCGATCGGCAACACTAGACAACTTTTCCACCTTATTAAAGAAACTGGTATTAAGAACCCGAATGTGAGTGAGACTATCTCGGAAAAGGATGGTCTTATTATCCATTCTCAATCCAGGAGACTGGATCGATGGGCAGAACATTTTAGGGATCAGTTCAACTGGCCACGAGCCACTCTTCAGTTACCCACGATCTCCAGTCATCCTGAATGGCGAATCGACGTAAGTCCCCCTCGTCTTAATGACGTTGAGAAAGCGTTAGGAAATCTGAAACGAGGACGAGCTGCAGCTCGGATACAGAAGGTTCGATTCGCTTTTGCCTACCTGCGTCACTTATGGCGTAGGCGTGATATCCGTTCTCTAATCAAAGGACGAGTGTACTGTGCAGCAGTTCGCTCCGTTCTCCTATATGGCTGTGAAACATGGCCATTGAGAGTAGAAGATATTCGTAGGTTACTGGTTTTCGATCATAGGTGTCTTCGAAGCATTGCTCGTATACCGTGGGACAACCGAGTGAGCAATGCTATCGTTAGGAAACGAGTACTAGGTAAGGATGGCAGATCAATAGATGAAGTGGTGAAACTTCATCAGTTGAGGTGGTTGGGACGTGTGTTTCGTATGCCAAACCACCGACTGCCTCGAGGAAATTTGTTTTGTAGTGTAGGAGTAGGTTGGAAGATAGTTAGGGTCGGCCAGACCAAAACATGGCAGAAATCCATGAAGTCATTGACTAGTGGACTGAACCATGTTGGTAATTGTCGACTACCTGGTTGGGGTCCGCGAGATGATAATAATCGATGGTTAGAGACCTTGAATGACATGGCTCAAAATCGTTCGCAGTGGCGCCGGTGCATTTATTCTCTGTGTTCTCTCAAATCCTAATCTTCTGGATTCTTCAACACATCTAGTTTCGACTCTCTAAACTTTTCTCACTGAATCATACTTCTTGAATAGTATCTTCTAACCCTAACCTCTCCGATTACTTCTTATTCCCTTACTACCTCTTCTACTATTGGATTTGAATTGACGATTACTTCTCTGTGCTAATGTGGTATGGCAACATGAACTGATGTACTTATGTACAAAGTTCTACGTTGCATCTGACTGACTGACTGAATGATGTTATTACATCTATTACTCTGGGATTTGTGTTTACAGTAGTAGTAGTAGTAGTAGTAGTAGTTATATGGCAACTTAAACTGGTGCACACATATATATTGAGCTCTGCATTGCAAATGACCAAATAATCCCGGAAATTAATTTTACGTCCTTTACAATAATTTATAATAAAATAATACTTGAAATCGCAAGTACTATCATCAGCTCAACACAGCCAAATAGTTGAACTTATATTGGAAAAGTAATCTATGCTATACTCAATAATTTATGTACAACCAGTATTAGTAGTTATGGTAATATGTACATGAAAATGGTCGATATGATAGTCTATTCAATTGTCTTATATGTTTCTGATACATTTTTCATCTTGACATGTTAAAACTAGTTTAATAAATCTGTCATGATTTATATTTTTTTAGTTAGAGATAGTCAACCGAACTGATATATTTACTGTTATATCAGTTTGCATATTGCATTGTTTTAGTAATTGTTGAATACGCACAATTACATGGTGTATATCAGTTTGATATCATAATGAATTACAGAATCACTTAGTATACGCGGACATATTACTTGTGTCCAATGTGTTTCACTGATTCCAAGCACCTCGATGTTGTATCGTTTCATTTCTGCCGCAACTTGATATAGTCTTCCAGTCTCCCACAATGTACGAACGTTCCATGTGCCTAAAAAAAAATGGTTGCTCTGGTTGTCAGAAGAGGCATCAGCCCCGTGACTTCCGAGGGAACTCTCGGCTTTCATCACGCGACGTCATAATTCTTCCTCCAACTCCCAGGGCAGAGTTAAAATGGTTTGAATTAATTTTTTCTGGTTAGCGTTTTTTTGGCAAGTTAGTTTTTGACGGAATGGGGTCGCCAACCCTCCTCCTTTACCCGGGCTTGGGACCGGCAGTAGCCCCGAAGGTTCTACTGGCGGAGTTAATTACAACAACAACAACAACTGTGTTAAAATCTTATAACATTCTCATAATTTCATTCGTGAACAGTTATGTAGTTTTTAGTGTAAAGATTCTCATAAGAGCATTTGCAGTTTTTAAAGTTCATGTCATTATTTTAATCGTTTGTAAAACTGTTAAAGGGTGTGTATGTGAGTGTAATAATCAATCATTTGAATTGATCTGGAACTGAAAACACACTGTTAGGTTTCATTTGATAATTCACAGAGTAATGAATGGTATAACAGTGAGATTTGTTTTCATTTTTGCATAGGTAAAAAAAGATGTGAAGAAAAGTCAACATGCAACTGTTGCAAACAGAGAGGAGTTAGGTATAAGTTAAGTAATAAGGTTTAATCACATAATGTAGACAGAAATCAAGTGCTCATATATTTTATCTGTAGCTTGGTATTTATCAATCTACCTCCCCATATTGATCATTAAAATATTTGTATTCAAATATCTCACGCTACTAACTACAGTGAATTCGATCAATTGGAATATCCATACAAAATTTATATTGATTAAATTTGAATAAATAAAATTTTGAATTTCATAAATGGAACACCTGTCTATATTAGGTATCCAATTTCTATAAATACATCCAAATGTGGTATGTTGTAAATTAATGAAATTCCCACTGCCCTCCTCATCAAGTTAAGTTGTTTTGTGAAATGAGTTTCTTTTTTTTTAATTTATTTTTACTGATAGAACGCATGTGAACTGTCTGAATTACTCTATTGTTAAACGAATAATAATGTTTCAAAGTAGTTGTTGTATTCTATCTCTAGTTAAGGGTGTTTTTTATTGTAGATTGGTTTTTAATTTATTGGTTGTATTTGTCATTAGACTGACTGATCTCACCATTGAAAACTACGAAGCATAACATAATCAGGTTCACTACTGACTTATGTCAAAATGTCCCTGAAGTTTTGGTGTGTAGTAAGTAACTGGTTAAGTTCAGATATATCTGGAATTATACGAGTTGTCATCGATCTCACTAGATGATCGTTGCGAGGCAGCACAAAGTGATCCAGAAGTTCTATTGGCTAAGCGTTCACCTTGCGACCTCGAAGTTTCACAGTTCGATCCTTGACTTGTCTGATGTAGTTGAAAAGTATGCATATATTGAATTGATTAATTATTCTTGAATTAATGTGTATAATATTCAATCTCTATTTCATATCATTTCTACTGTTTGTTAATATTTTTTCCTTTTTAGTTTTATGCATCAAAATGAATATTAGTTTATCAGATAATTTATTGACTTCAGAATTAGATGATCAGTTGGTTAGCATTTCTCATCCTCATCATCAATTTAATTCTAACAATACTGTGACTGTACATGTCAGCCATAGCAATGAGTTCACCGGGCCAACATATTTTACTACTACTAATGTATTAGGTAACATTATTACACACAACTTACAACATGTAACAAATTCACAAAATGATAATAATCATAATAATAATAATGATAATAATGGTGTTTTACTCGATGAGCACAATGTTAACCACCATGTTGATGATGAAAATGACGATAATCTGTTCGATGATTTATCCGCTGCAATCGAGGCGATCAATGAAGCGAATCGTTTAAATTCCGCATGTGATAATGATGTTGATGATATGCATGGAATGTGCTGTGATGATGATGATGATGAGGGCGGAGTTTTAGTCTCCAATATAATGTCATCATCATCAGCAGCAACAATGCAACATCGAAATAATGTTCCAGCTATTACAACTTTCCGTTCAATACCGTCATCATCATCATCATCATCATACCATTTTGTGACACATCCAATATTTGCTAATATTCCTATCACTACTACAACCACAGGTGGTGATAGTGCCACTGCAAATCAAGTAACTTTGTTTAAATGTGATACTACGGATGAGAAAATTGAAGCGAATCAATATTTACATGAAAATGAAAATGTGGCTGAAAAACCAGATCCACTTGGTACTAGTCATATTATACCGTCGTTATTGACAACTTCATCATCTCGTTCCATGAATTCAGTTCAATCAAGTTGGCGGTTATTATTACGTCCAATATTTGAGAAAGCTTTAATTGAACGATTATGGACTAGTGGGGAATTAGGTTCATCCAATGCACACTCTTTATTGTTATCTATGTGGTTTTATATTTCACGTCATTTCGGTATTGGATGTCGTACAGATCATGCTAAACTTGCTTATGGTAATATTGTTATAGGCGTGAATTCAACAACTGGTGAACGTCATTTACAGTTTAGTAGGTAAGTGTATATAACTATTTGTTCAATAAATTGGAACATATAGAGAAGTTATCTTATTACCTCTACTACTATGGGATTTGAATTGACAGGTCGATCTCTCTGTGCTAATATAGTATGGCAGCTTAAAAGTGATGTACGTACATCAGTTAGTCAGTCGGTTAAAACGCAGAACTTCGTACGTACATACATCGGTTCAAGTTGTCATAACACATTGACACAGAGATGCAATTGTCAATTCAAATCCTATAGCAGTAGATGTGGTAGAAGTATTAGCAGTAATCTTAAATTTTAGGGTTCGAAGATATTATTATTCAAGAAGTAGAATTTAGCGAAATAAACTTAAAACGATAAAGGTGGTGAGGAATGCTGAAGGTTAGTATTTGAGAACACAAAGAATGAATGCACCTGGGCCATTGCAAACGATTTTTAGCCATGTCATTCAGGGTCTTTAACTATTATATTGTGGACCCCAACTAGGTTGTCTGCATATACTAACATTTCTCAGCCCACTTGTCAGTGATTTCATTGCTTTGTGCCATGTATTGGACTGGCCGCAAAGAATCGCTCTTCAAGGCAGTCGGTGGTTAAGCATTCGTAACACATATCCTAACCATCTCTACTGATGAAGTTTCACTTCTTTATCTGTTTATATGCCATCCTTACCTAATACCAGTTTCCTAACAACAGCGATAGTGGCAGGATATTCGAGCAATGCTTCGAAGACACCTATGATCGAACACCAGTAACCTAGGAATATCCTCTACTCTTACTGGCTATGTTTCACACCCGTAAACTGGGACTGAGCGAATTGCTGCGTAGTCGATTCGTCCTGTGGTTAGCAGACGGATATCTCGCCTACGCCATAAGTGACGCAAGTTGACAAAAGCTAATTAAGCCTTCTGCATTCGCATTGTTGTTGTAGCTGACTGAATGGCTGTGTACCATGTTCATTGAACATATTCATTCATTCATTCTTCTTTTGGCTGCCTCCATTTCTCGGCTTATTGTGTTCCTTGGCCGTCCTCTTTTCCTTTGTCGTTGAGGGTTCCAAGTGAGGTCCTGTCTTGTGACGCAGTTGGTTGCTTTCCTCAATCTGTGTAATATCCACTTCCACTTCTTCCTGATTTCCTCCGGTGGAACGTGGTTTGTTCTTTCCAAAAGTAGGTTGTTGATGATGGTGTCTGATCAACGGATCCGAAGTAGCTTGCTTAGACAACTATTAATAAACACTCTTATCTTCTGGATTATAGCTTTGCTATTTCTCCAAGTTTCCGCCCCATACAGTAGAACTATCTTTGCATTTATATTGAAAATTCTGATTTTGGTGTTAGTTGATAGTTTTTTAGAGTTCCCGATGTTGTTGATTTGTAAAGATGCAGCCGTTGCTTTGCCGATCCACGCCTTCACATTTGCATCAGATCCACCTTGCTCGTCAATGATGCTGCCCAGGTATGTAAAGGTCTTTACGTCCTCCAAGGGATCTTCTCCATTAAGTGTGATTTGGTTGGCGCATGTTGTGTTGTACCCTTACTTTTACATTAATATAATATCTATCAGTAAAGGTTTGTAATTTTTCATGGTGAATACTCAAGAATTCAATTGATGAATAGTTTCTGTTGTTATTTGCTCATTTTGAATGGATTGCGTCTACTTTTCATTGTCTTAAAGCATTAAGATTATTTGGCTAGTAATGAAGTGCAAAACACATGTTTCACTCTATTCCAAAACTCGTCTCTTGAATGTTCATAGATCCCAATGTTAATAATAATAATAATAATACTCACCTTGAGAGTTCGAGGCTAATAGTTTTTGCTTCAAACTTATTATTCCATTGAGCTTCCTTGTCCAGATTGCGATTGACATGTTTGTAGCTCAGATGGATGATTGTGGTGGTGGCAGCGCTTTCATTGTTCTTCTCAACAACATCATCAGCATCACAATTGACATGCTTACTTACTGTTCATTTTGTGAATTTCATTTAAGTTTTTGGATTATGGTGTTTGACAACTTAGATTACTTACTTACTTACGCCTGTTACCCCCAATGGAGCATAGGCCGCCCACCAGTTTTCTCCAACCAACTCTGTCCTGAGCTTCCTTCTCCAGTTCTGTCCAATGTTTGTTCATTCCTCTCATATCTTTCTCTACTTCTCGGCGTAATGTGTTCCTTGGCCTTCCCCTTTTCCTTTTGCCTTGAGGGTTCCATGTAAGGGCTTGTCTCGTGACGCAGTTAGGTGCTTTTCGTAGTGTGTGTCCTATCCACCACTTCCACCGCTCCTTCCTGATTTCCTCCTCCACTGGAATCTGGTTTGTTTTCTCCCACAATTCGTTGTTGCTGATGGTGTCTGGCCAACGAATACGAAGTATTTTGCGTAGACATCGGAGAATTTTACTTTTTCCTTTATGTATGTTGAGACCTACTGCTGCAGAGGTTGCTGCTACACTGGTCGTCTTCTCTTGCATTTGTTGTTGCGTGTGCGATAGAAGAGCCACGTCATCTGCGAAGTCCAGATCGTCCAGCTGCGTCCTAACTGTCCAGTTGATACCGTGCTTCCCTCCAGATGTCGACGTCTTCATAATCCAGTCGATGACCAGGAGAAAGAGAAAGGGTGAGAGTAAGCAACCTTGCCTGACACCGGTCTTCACCTCAAAGGAGTCTGTTAGCTGTCCTTCGTGTACGATTTTGCAGTTGAATCCATCATAAGAATTCCGTATGACGTTAACTATTTTCTCAGCTTAGATCACATTATAATGATAACTGACTGGAATATTTTTGTAAGAGTTAAATTTGTTTTATTTTACATCTGTAATAAATTAATAACTTAATATCTGAAAAATTATTACTATTATTATATCTGTATTCGTACATTGTGTGTAGTCTTCCACATGGAGCTGTTTCAGTTGGAACATTGCGAAAAGTATCAAAGAGTATTAAAGAATTTGCATCTCCAGTGAAACCACGTCAACCAGATAATCTTCTTCCAGAATGTCTTAACAAACCTGATCGTTGTCCAGTACGTTTATTCGAAGCTTTCTGTTCACATCGTCCATGTTCATCCAATTCAATTGAATCACCATTCTATTTACAACCGGAACGATGTAGTTCCATCATCCATGCACCAATGAACAATCCAACCTGGTTTACATCGAATGCACTTGGTAAAAATAAAATTGGTTCAATGTTAAATTGTGCATTACAAAATATCGGTATGCCAGTTGGTCGACAAGTGAATTTAGGCCGTTTCTGTGATGCATTAATTGCTGCAGCATTTTCACATTCTGGCGGTGGCAATGTCGGTGAAGCATTGCGTAGTTTATTACTGCTGAATTGTCGATCAAATAATCATCATATACCAGAATCATTATTACCAAGTATTGCATTGTATGCAGAGAATATTGTACAAATGTCCACAACACCGAATTCATCAGTTTATACATATTTAACTAAAATTTGTTCAATGAAAGCTGTGAAAAATGTTAAAAAATCTAGCATAAAATTAACAAAAATCTCAACGAAACTATCACATTCCATGAATATAAATGCTAATAGTAATAACAGTAATAACAGTAATAATAACACTAGTAATATTAATCATCATTCAATCAATTTTTCTAGTAATTCACCTCTAACTACTACTACTTCTATTGCTTCTACTTCTACTACTGGTACTGTGACTACTTTTACTACTGCTACTGCTACTAATCCAATCATTCATAGTTATAAATCTGTCAATCTAGTCAGTGTGAATCATTTAAGTCCATTGTCAACTACTACTACTACTACTACTACTACTACTACTCCTACACAAGGAATTGTTTGTAATCATTCGAAACAGACAAATCTTTGTTACAAGTATGTTATTGATGATGTGTTTTTTTTTTACTTTTTTTTTTATTTTTGCACTCTAAGATGATTGTGTTGTGTTGTGTTGTGTTTCTTTTGTGTCAATATACGTTGAAGCTGAGACATGCCATCTTGAATTGTTGTAGGCGAAGAAATAACCTGTGAAATATTTTTTATCTCTAGATAGGCTCTCCAGTATAAATACAATTTTGAAGGTATTGTTTTGACATCATCGGCTTCGTTGATCTCGGTGTTAATATAAGATTAATGATTCATTGGTAAATATGTTCGACTTTTAACAGGTAACTCCTAATTTTGAATCCTACTTCATCTAGTCGGATTTAGAAAAATTGCATAGTTTTATTATTTTAGCATACAGTCAAAGTGTAACTCCGTAGTTCTACATACACCTAGTGAATGGAAGTTAATTTACATATTTTTTTCAACTACATTTCATGTAGTTTGTATTTCCTTTTAGTTTTTTATCGTAGTCATTATTTCCTCTTGTACACTCCACTCCACTTTCTCTATGAATAAAGATTCTAGCGTTTTATTCCATAAAGAAGTCTAGCATTCTACACTAGTGTATAAAGTCATAGACTACTATTTCATTGAATTGTGGTTAAGGTCTAATGCAATCATTGTAATCAATGCTTTCAGAGTTCAAGTGACAACAATTAAGAATCGGTTGCAATGAAACCAGATATATGCATTCTGTTTTAGTTTATTGGATTTTAAAATAACGCTGGCGCTTTTTTACTTCATCAATTCACTCGAACCTTTTTATTTATATTTCATTTGATCTTTTCTATGATCTCTCATTGTTACTATTTATATTACTCATAACTGTTGCCTGTTTAAGTATGATATGCTTAACTTGAACCATTGGACAGGTGTATACACTACTAGGTTCTCGGTTGACTTACTGACTTAATGAATGTCTGGTTTTGATGCATTGATTTTTAAGTAGGATTAGTACACTGTCAACAATTCTATCTTCTAAACTCAAAGTTCACTTAGTTTATGATAGCATTCTCTTCAAAACACCGTAAACTTGTTTTTTTTACCAAATTTGAAAATTTACAATAACTTATTTCATAATTCAAACTGTTATCACTAGCATATTGAGTACACAGTTGAGTGATGCCATTGTGATATCTGGTTAGCAAGGTATGGAACTACTCAACTCATCTGTTCATCTACAACCACGCATCCGTTAATCACACATTTAGTCTTGCTTATAAACGCCTGATCTCTGAACCACTGAATCAACTGGATAATCAGTCAATCATTGACAACATAGAACTTGGTATATGCGCACATCCATTCAAATTGTCATTACTCCATTAGCACAAAGAGATAAATTCGTCAATTAAAAAACCCCATAATAGTTCAGTTTAAAGCAGTATTATTGGTAATAAAGAGCATTAAGGATCGAAAATATGAATCGAGAAGTTGCAAACCAACAATCAGCTGAATAGTTGTATCATTAGCCGATTGTGTTTCCGGATCTTGGCAAAAAATAAATCCGAATACATGGTGACATTGTTCAGATTTAAAGAATTTTTTTATTGAAATCACACTTAGTCGAAGCACAATTTCCTCATATGTATATAAATATATGTTTAAGAAGGGTTTCAAGCTTGTATTCATATAAAACTTGGTGTACTGAAAAGCTCAATGACAATTCAGTTAACCATTTGGAAAAATGAAACATGACAGAAATAAAGTTTAATAACTGATTTGAAGGATGGTAGATCAGTTGACGAAGTAGTGAAACTTCTTCAGTTGAAGTGGTTAAGACATATGATGCGTATGCCTAACCACCGACTGCCTCGAAGAGCTATGTTTTATGGTGTAGGAGTAGGTTGGAAGAAAGTTAGGGGCGGCCAAACCAAAACA